AATGTCTGTGATAGAGGAATTGTAAACGACATCTTATAGGAAACATCCCTCACAAGAGCAGTCCGCCCTTTGCAGCCCTCAGAGAAATGAGAGTGATGGTTGCCGGAGACACACGTAAACAGGAAAGGAAGGGAGCCCACGGTATCAGCCTGGGTCAGCGCCATATGAATCAGTGGAATCCTATTTCCAGGCGCTAGAGGCCATGTCTTCTCAGAAAGCAGAGATGGAAACAGGACTATAGGAATACTGTTGCCTCCAGGAAGCAGGAGAGGTTTAATCGAGATAATCTGTGAGGTCAAACTTCACAACCACTTAGGTGGCCAAATAGCTCAAGAGAGAAAAAGAGAGCTGTGGCATTTTTATAGGTTTACAGAAATCCATCCAACCCCTATGCCCAGCATGGACCAATACTCAATAAACATGTGGCATGGATCAATGTGAGGCATGAATCATGCTAACTCTAAGGCAGGGGTGATCATGCAGGGGTAGACTCAAGGAGTCTTTGTAGAGATAATCCATGTCCTGGCTCAGAGGAGCCTTGATGATTCCAAGTCCTTTAAAAATTTGATCTAGAACCACAGCACACAAAATATGAGTGTGGTGCAGAAAACTGAGTGGGAGTTCACCTTGAACCAGGCCAGCCGGGCAGGGGGAGAATGAACATGGTTTTCGAGAGGAAGAAAAGATCTGAGTGAGATGAACAGCTCGTTTCTTATAAAAGCAAAAACACAGTTCAATAAGGACCCCACAAGGAGACCAGCGAGGATCTGCAGGAAGCCCTCTCATGATAGGTTGGAGTGCACAGCTCAGAGAGATCAGAGCCTGAGAGGAAGTATAGTCACCTCTGCATCTGAAATCTTACATAAAATGGCACTGGATTTGAATATACCTACCCACAGCCTGAGCATCAGGGAGGGTTTTCCTGAATTAGGGTTTGCAGGTGAAAACTATTCCTCAAACCAGGATGGGGGTGTGGCAACCTCATCCTGGAGACCCTTCCCCACATTAATTACTCTCTTTCCTGCCCCCCTTTGTGTGCTCCTTGTCTTTATGACTCATTCCTCTCTGTGTGTCCTCTCAGAGTTTGAATACAAAGATCAGTAGAGCCATTCAAACCCATCCCATTCTCTGTGTCCCAACCACCTGGCCTAGAACTGGCCCAATTTGGGGGCACTGAAGCCCCATCCTGGTAAACGCAGGCCCCGAGGGCTCCCCAGCTGGACCATCTCCACCCAGCAGGTTATAGCACGTGGATTCCTCTCTGTGGCCAATTATTTTCCATGGCCCTTGGCCATGTGACCTCAGTCCACAACCTTGTCAGTACTCATAAACTAACCAGGAGTGGAATGAATCACAATCAGGGAGGAAACCTCTGGGGGAAACTGCAAAGGGCTGGGGGAGGAAAGAGAGTAAGCTGGGGACCCAAGGCCATGGGCACCTTGCTGCCCCTCACCCATCCCTGAGCAGCTTTGTCCTCTGGAAAGGAAAGAGGAGAAGGCAGTAGCCTTGGGAGGGATACTCTTCTTAATAAGACTTAGTGTCTCAGTCCAAGAGGCTTATTGTCCCCAGTACCCCAAATTTGGAGAAACCACTTGCTTTAGACACTCATCGAATGCTTTGAGGTTGTCAAAGTCCCCATTCTTAGGAGCACTAATGTATCATCATAAGATAAATTAGATGCCATTTGACACACATGTGCATGTGCAACCACATCTACAGCTAGACACAGAGGTCCTGTGGGAGGTGATGAAAATGTTGGAGGCCCTTGATCCCACACGGATGGCAAGGATGCTTTAGGGTTGTTGCGTGAAAAGTCACGCTTTGTCAAACACACTGATTAAGTTGGAAAGGAAGTACCAATGAAATCTTCTTACTCTCCAAAATCCTGAAAGTGGGTGTTATATAAACAAAGCCCCATGCTTCTCTGCCTGTATTTTTGGGGGGATTTTTTTTTATTTCTTACTTTAAATAATCTTGGAATTGCAAAGTTTTGCATCTCTGTAGTTTTGGATCACCAGTTACCTAGAGTTCTCTGACAAGTTAATGTATTGTTAGAGAGGTAATTTCTGAAGGAAATATGCACAGTTAAATACATCCCTTAACTACATATATGTTTGAATGACTCTGGGCATTCATTTGATTCAGTCCTGGCAAGCAGGGTACATGCAAGTGTGTCCATGGATAGAGCATATATACTTTTGCATTCGCAAAACCTCAGTGAGCCGCATGCTATTTTAAGAGCCTGAACTCTATCTTTCAACAAAGTTTAGCTGCTTTCCTTTTGCAAATGCATTCAATTTTATCTGGAAACTTTTTGACATTAGAAATAGAACAACTGTAGTTTCTCATTATGTTTGCTGCCAGAATCCATGCTTGGTTGCTCAACTAAAGACCTTACATTGCTAATTACTACCACATGCCCATATCCCAAGCGAAAGAAAACTTATTGATTCTGACAGCCCATTCTCTCAACACTGAATTCCAAATGAAAACTCAAATTTTGGCCAAACATAACATTTCATCAATCTTGTTCTACTGACTGGAAAAACAACATCAAACAAAGGGTGCTAATGGCCCTTTATTACCGTTCCTTTCCCAAGCTTATACTTTCTGATGAAAGATCTAAGTGACCAAAGGGCTTCTTTAAACTACTTAGTAATTAGCTTTTGAACCAGGAAACACTGCGCAAAGTAAAGTGAACAGCCCCGGTGTCAATGACAAGGTGGACTCTCAGTCCACAGGGCTGGGAGACACTGGAGACCCAAAGAGGACATTAAAAGCAAAGTGCATTTTCATAATAGGAGAAAGGGGGGGGGGGAGAGAGAGAGAGAGAGAGAGAGAGAGAGAGAGAGAAACCAAGCTAAAAGGGGTGATAAAAGATTACAGAGCCAAACTGCAGGAAGTCTGTGACCTAAGGTCATCAGCAGGTGGTGGTCTGGGGGGAAACGTCAAGGCAAAAAAGCTGACCAGATCAGACCACAGGCTGTTGAGCAAGCACAGGTCTCAGGGCCTCTTCTGGGCCACCCAGCAACAAAAGCTGCCACCAGCCCACCCGCCTTGGACCAGGTACACTGTTTTTTGGGAAAAAAAATAAATAAAACTTCCACCTGGAGTCAGAGTCAAGAAATATTTTCTACACCTAAGCTTCAGAGCAATTGATTTTATTGGCGTCTTCAGGGGCAGTGATAAGGAAATGCTGGCAGAGACAGTGGGAGGGGGAGGCCACAAAAAGGGCCCCAGGTCCTCACAGTGCCTTCTGCTTTATTGCCACGGGGTCCACGTCTTAAAGGCAAACAGAATCGAGAGGCTGCTTTCCTCTTGGCATGGGATAAATGGCCAAGGGGAATCTCTGGACTTATTTGGCCTTTTGGATCCAACTGATGGCCCAGAAATCAGAACAGCTTGGTTCTAACCTCATCCAGGGCTGTTAAGATAATAGGGGGAGGAGGGACCCATTAGAAGGAAGATGGCGGGATGTCTGCCTCCACGGAGAAGTCGCCAACTGGCCTCCTTTAGCCCACTGTCCTTTGTGCCTTTGAAAGGAAACTGGTGTCCTGTGGGTACTTCAAGAAAATGAGCCCCTTTTTTGTCCACCTCCTCATTTTCTGAACGGAGTACTGGACACCTGAGCTCAGGATGTGTTGGAATCACCGACCAGAGAGAGGGGTCTGCTCCATCCTGCATGGCTGACTGTCAAGATGGGAGGACGCAACCATGGAGGGGAAAAATCGATGCTTCTGGCCGGACTTTATTTTTCTTAAAAGATCAAAATAAGCTAATAATTGAAAAATAGAGAAGAAAAACAAAAATACACACACAAAACAGTTCCATGCTAAGAACCTCCCTGAATGGAAATGGCCATGAGCCCTGATAATTTTTGGTATCTTGATCTAGATGCTGGAGCAGCGACTGGTGTGTACTGAGGCCCAAATTCCTCAAGCAGCGCATTAAAGATATTCAAATTTTACTCCATGTAGGTCACATATATAAATTATAAACAAAGCTAAGTGCCACCCAAAAATCTTTTAAAAAAAAATAAAGGAAGAATGGCTGCTGCGAGTTGAATCTCCCCTCAACAGTCTTCTCTAAGAAGATGCTCTGGTAGAAAACCAAGAAAATGAAGTCCTGTCACTAATGTAGAGTAAAACTTCTGGTGGATATTGGACCTGTACATTGACATGAATATTGGTAAGTGACCCAAGCACAAACTGCAATAGTTCCTAAGAGTCATCAGGAGTATCCAGTAGTGCCCTGACACCATAAATATAATGTCATACCCACAAAGAGTCTCAACTGAGTAGTAAGATCTTTGAGGATGAGATGGGGTCTTCCTGCCTGCAGAGGAGAACTGGTTTCCTGGTGGCCATAGGGCCTTTGCAGTAGGCAAGATAACCTGTATCTTGCATCCCTGCTAGAGTTTCATCCCACATTATCGCTGCATTAACAAAAAAAAAATAATAAGATGGCATTGCCAAAGGGGCAGGAACCAGAATTAAATTACATAGCCAGTTCTTGTGACAAATACATGAGCTTGGACTCAGAACAGAAAATAAGACCCTGGTATATATGGTCCCCTTTCATGATAAATCCACTATGCCTCTTGGCATCTCAGACCAGAAATAAGGCCTTGGGAGTCTGCAGGAGCAAGAAGACACCTGCCTCGGGTAACCTGTGACGTCACACCCCTGCACCTTGCGGGCTTTCCCTCACAGAAGCACCAGGTTGGTTGGGGAGGGGCAGGATTCAAGGTCACCGCCCCAGGGACTCTGGAAAGTCACTCAACCACATCTTCTCTGATGTCACTGACTTACTTTCTGCCTCCATGTTTGTTAAAAGTCCCGCCGAATTTATTCCGATTCAGGATGAGAGCAGCAATTTCGGGCACGTAGCGGGCAAACATTGCCTACATGCATGAAACAAAGAACAAGAGCCAAAACAAAAAATGGCATGCAGAGAGGATTCTACCGCCGCGGAGCAGCAAAACCTCTTGGCGTACTTACTTTCTTCCACTAACCGCGCTATAGGAGCCCCCGTATTTCTTGCGGTTTCCTATTAATTCTATGATTTCAGGGACGTAGCTGGCAAACATGGCCTGAGGAGAAGAGGGGAGACAGAAGAGAGACTAAAAAGACAGGCCCGAGAAAGGGGGTGACCTCTTCAGAAAGGGGGGTACTGAGATCTGAAAACACAAAAGGGTTTGGCCTGAGAAAGTCTACTCACATGTTGTTGGGTCATAACAAAAAATAAAAGGACAAAAAAGGACAAGATCCTGAAAACACACAGGACTCAACAAACACAAGCCAACCTGCACAACTGGGGCAAGGGGGAGGGAGCAAAAAAGACATCCCAGTCAAGAAAAATACAAAGGAGACAGGAACAGACAAGCTGACAGCTAGCTCCTCTTCCTGAAAAAAAAAAGTAGGTAAACGGGGGTTTGAAGCTGGAACTGAACTCACTCCCACGCACATGCGCACACGCACAGACGCGTAGGCATTCTTGCAAGACCCTTCCTTTTTTTAATTAAAATTCAAAGGAGAATCAGTGCCCTGAAGAGTGATTAAAGACAAGAAACACCAAAAGGTTTAAAAAGAATAAATTCTGTCATTCAAAACAAAGTCACTAAAAAAGGCAAAAAAAAAAAAAAGGTAAATTTAGGGAATCACATGAGAGGAAAGGATAGCAAGGAGAAACACAAATCTGCCATGTTTTGTCCAACAAACATAACCCTGTGGCTGGATAAAGGGTGTCCTTATCTATGGGACCTTGGAGAGACTGCAGAAATGCCATGCTGATGTACAGACACACACACACACATTGGCATACATTTTTTAAAATGTGTATGCTCTATGCATACAGAGATGTGTGTATGCATCACTTATATACATGTGTGTGCAGTGTACATACATGAAAGCTGCATGTGAAATAAGATTTGAATCACTCACCTCATATCTAGCAAAAGTTAAAACTTAAATCATTAAATTAAATCCACTTTGGAAGACAAATTGCAGCAATCATTAGTGTGTATCAGAGTGCTAGGAGGTGCTTTACTTCAGAACGGGAGATCATACAGTAAGACTTCCTGATTTATGAATGGGAGGAAAACCATACCAGGTGTTGCTGCAAGACAAAGCAGGTTATTGACAAAACTGTGCTCTAATTACTGATAATGTGCCCATGACAAGACCAAGCACTCTCCCTTCTCTGATGTGAGTTCCCTTCTTTTTAGGGTAGGCACCAGCCACAGTGTTTGTTGGAAGTTCAGGAAGGAACATAAAGGGGGAATTGGAGCTCCTGAAACCGCAAACTCTCTACAGAGTATCCACAGCATCTATCAGGGTCGGGTGACAGCAACTGTCCTTGCAGACTATCAGCTGTTGAATTCTATTCCTAAAGACAGGTGCACTCACTTATTAACAGCATCCCTTTCTTAAGACAATTAGATTTAGGTTTGCTCCTGGCTAAATGGCTATCCCTGGCAAGGCAATGTGCCTGGGTCTGTGGACCAAGCAAAACATACCAAAAAAATTTACAGAGAAGTCATCTTGGTGTTTGGATTAAATCTATAACTAAGGCAGTCACTTGGTTCTAACTCAGAAATACAGTATAAAAATACAAAGCCTTAAGGAAGTAGATAATAGAAAATATTAATGACCATAAAAATCAACATCATAATAAAGAGTTTTTACCAGTCCCCCGAGGATGAAGAAGACCATGAAGAGGCGCCCAAGCGTGGTTTTTGCATAAACATCCCCATAACCAACAGTGGACATTGTGACCATGAGTAAGTAGACACATTCCCAGTATGTAAGAGCCTGGTTGTTTTGGAAATTTTCCCATGGGTCCCCTGAATTCTCCACCTGAAGTAAAGGGAAAAGGGAGAAAAAATAAAAACATCACACACACACACACACACACACACACACACAGTATATACAATGAACCAGGAAGCCCAAAGCTCTGGCAGGCTGCTGGCTGAAGCTCACTGCCCTCAACAAAGATGTTTGCTTCCCTGGGCTGAACTGTGTGTGTGAGGACTCAGAACCCTGAGCAGATAGCAGAGAGAAACAGAAACAGAAATAGGCAAAAACATCCTCAGTCCATTTTTCTTCTCATTGTTAAAGGTTTGAAGCCAACTGAAATGGGGCATTGCCTCTGGCCCTGTCATACAGTGCTCTTTTCAAGGGAAGAGCCAGAGAGCCTTTTCCTGACCTTTCCTTGCTAAGCCTCCAAGGACCTGGCTCTTGCTTCCCTGCAGACATAGTAGACCCTCCACAGAGGATGCCTCATTTCATTGCTATGGCCAAGGATATGCCCTGTGGATCCCACTCCTTCAGATCTTCTGCTGGGACCCCAAATAGCATCTCTGGAGTCTGATCCTGCCTCCTTTGTAAAATGTCAACAGTGGTTCTGCCCTTAAGGCTGCAGGAACTTCCTGAGGAGCACCAAGACTGAACTCATGGCAACAATTTGCATTTGCACAACTCTTTTGACCAAGGGCCTGCAAACTCTTTCTGTCAAGGGCCAGAGAGTAAGTACTTTCAGCTTTGTGGACCATAGGGTTTCTGATCTCCTCACAAATCACAGCAGTTGTGGGGGGAGACCAGCAGAGGGCGATACTTCACTGAACAGGTGAAGCAGGATTGCTTTAGACTTGACAAGGCACTCTCCAGTCCTCCTATCATATCTGATGGGCCAACAAGGCTGTGAGGTGGCCTAGAGAGGTACTTTAGGTACTCCCAGGAGGGAGCGAGCAAGGATGAGGCCATTTCTACTCAGATACCAACTCTGCATTACTAAGAACCAGGCATTGAGATAAGCAGCACTCCCCTCCCCCAGCAGCACTCTCCTCCCCCAGCAAGACCTCCAGTTCCACCTCTGCAAAATGTTCCCAAGACCTAGCTTCCTCCATACATCAAAAATTCTCCTCTACATGCCATTTTCATGATGTTGTCCTGGTAAACCAGAAAGCATTGCATGTAACACGTAATAGTAACAAGGAGTCACTGACTTCTTAAAGACAACTCCTTCTTCCACATCTGTGATTTTGGCACTTGGTTACAACAAGAATTAGAGTAATGAAGGGTGAGACTGGCCAAGGATCCCATCACCACAGACGGCTGGTGAGCCTCCTGAGATCTGGTGACTGCCAGCTGCCCCCACTTCCATCCCAGCTCCCTTTGCCTGGTAATTACAGGTCCCAAGTGGTGGATAACCAGATTCATCCTCAGATTCTTTGGGCAAATGAGCAAATGAGGCTCCTGGAAGGCAGGTGGCTTCTAGTCAACGTTTCACAGTTTGATAAGGCTCCTTCATGTTTGTCTGAAATGTGCTTCCAACAATAGCCATGCTCTCTAAAAAAGGGGGTGGTGGTGGCTTGTCTTGGGAAGGTGAGAAGAGCTTGACTTAATAATAGGAGGTTTTCAAAGAGCCATTAATATAAAAGAATTAACATTTTTGAGGTACAAAATAACTTGACAAGTAATCAAGCAAAAGAATCAAAAGGCAGCCTTTTGTAAGGGGAAAGTGGAGAGAAATTGAGGGATATGAATTTGTTGTTTATAAAGAGATGTGGGTCAAACTTCCAACCTCGTCCCCAGACCTTTTCTGGGCGTTTGTTGTGGAAGCACTGCCATCTTGTGGCCTTCTGGGGTTATTGCAGAGAGAATGAAAATCTAGGAAAGTCCCCGCTGCAGTATTGGTGGGCTGAAAATGCAGGTTAATAGTGTGAACATCACTCACCATTTGGAACTAGTTTAGGGTAAACAGGTTGGAAACCCAGTCAATTGTGCGGTTGCTTCCTCCTTTTCTGTCTATAACTGAGCTGAAGTTTCCCTTCAGCGAAAGAAAATTCCAGGTAATAAAATGACTCTATGAGGGGCTTATTCCGGGCCAGCCAGAGCTGAAGGGCCTTCAAGGACACTTACCAAATGGATGAAGCCGGCTGCAGTCAACCACGTGCTGATAAATATGGAGAGCAGATTCACCAGCTTGATGGAATTACTGTGCAAGAGACAACAAGCAAAGAGCCCAGGTTAGAGGGAAGACCCAGCTGGAGGCGCCTGCCAGCAAGACAGCGCCCCCTATGTGCGGAGCAGGCTGTCTCTACTGGAATACTGGAAGGGAATTCATTCCTGGCAGGTGGCACACACAGGGGTAGCGTGAGGGTCACAACAGGGCCTGTAGGGAAGATAACACCTGGACTACTCAGAAGGGTCCCTGAATGAACCCCCTTGAATTTCGCTTTTTAAAAATTAACTTTTGTTTTGAAAACTCTTCAAAAACTCAGGGAAATGCCACGTGTGTAATAAATACCCATATGCCTTTCACCTAAACTGATCTAATATTAACATTTGGCACATCTGTTTTATCTCCACATGTTCTTTTTCTCTTGTTTTCTCTTTTCCTTTTCTTCTTTCATTATATATATATATATATATATATATATATATATGACTAAACCATTTACACACAAGTTGTAGACATCAAAACACAACATGACCTTTAAATGTCTGAGCACTCACCCCATAAGAACCAAGACATTATGCAATGTAATCACAATACCATTGTCACACTTCAAAGAATTAACATCAATTTGGTGACATAATCTCACATGCTGTCCCTATTTAAATGTCTCCACAGTGGTCCTGGAATTGTTTATTGATGTTCTCATCTCCCCCACCCTAATCCAGGAACTCATTGAGGCTCATACTCTGCAGATGCCTATTGTATGGCTTTAATCCAGGGGTCAGGAAACTTTTCTGTATAGGGACAGATAGTTAATATTTTAGGCATTGCAGGCCTCAGAATCTAGGTTGAAACTACTCAATTCTGCAGCTGTAATTCAAAAGTAGCTGTAGACAATATGTAACATAATGGGTGTGTCTGTGTTCCAATAAAACCTTAATTACAAGAACAGGTATTAGGCTGGACGAACCCATGAGTGATACTTTGCCAATCCCTTCTTTAGACTCTTTTAATCTACAAGTAGCACTCCCCTGTCCTTTGAAAATTGCTTTTTTAGTGACATTTAATTTTGTGTAAACCAGGCTGTCTTACAAAATGCTCTACATTCCAGATTTACCTGTTTCTCCATGATTAGATGGTATTTAAATATTTCTATTAAGAATTTCTGCTGGAATGGCCTCACATCAGGAAATCCCAATTTGATGATGACCTAGGTCCACTCAGGATGAAGTGGGGAGGGGAGATGGCTCCCCTGAAGGTTACCACTTCCCTTTGTGCTCAATACACCACCTTGGGGTGAGACTGAGACCATATGAACAGCCTATCTCCCAACCACCTGATGACTAACAGTTTTTGCATCCACCGGTGTTCCTTGAATGGATCAACTGGAACTCACTAAATTTTAAGCTCCATGAGAAAAGGAGACTTGTCTGTCTGGATCCCAGGGACAGTGGGTTCCTGGTGCCCAGTATACTGACCATGAATATGTCCTGAGTGAACTGGTCTCTTCCCCTGTACCCTTCCATTAAGCTCACCCCAATAGGGGACAGCTCCTTGGGTGCTGCTCTCAGCAGGCCAATTCCTGTCTCAAGGCTTTCCATTGACATGGACTGACAAGTGATGCCCAACTCTGCCCTTCTGTTGTCAACACCCTGTGAAGTCCCAGACTCTCCTACCTCACCTCCTTGTGGACTTTTGAAGCTGTCTTCACAGTCTGTGTATCATAGCTATGCTGGTGCTCTCACTCAGCCAGAGTGTCTTCCCATCTGTCTATACAGGTCCTATCAGAGACATTTACCAGGAACTGAGTGGGAGAGAGTCTTTCTCCATTTCAGATTTGGGGGTAAAGAATATAAGCCTGAAGCTCTAGTAGACCCTCTGCCCTGGAGAAAGTCTACCTGAGAATAAAATCCCAAACAGATGGAGAAAGAGTCAGAATCCCAAGGACACAAATCTGAACCCCTGGGTGCAGACTTGCCTGGTGTCAGCTCCCTCTTGGATTCTGTTACTTGCAATCAAAACCCATCTCCCTGAAATAGAAGTGCTGCTGTATTCAGGATACTCCCTGAGAACATAACGGTTGATGGGGTCTCCAAAGGTGATATGGGGCTATCTCCACATGAGACACCCACATGAGACATCTCCTGTGACACCCACATTGTCACCTGACCCTGCAATTAGCTCTGGTAGAAGGCTGGCATTTCCAAAGGCAAGCAAATCCTGACCTTCAACCCTTCGACCCTTATCCCAGCCACCATGGGTCATGCTACCCCCCCACCCCACCACATACACACACCTAAGCAGTGTCTGTGGCTATGAATGGGGTCACCAACTAACAAATATAGTGCTTAATGCCTTCCATCTCCATCTCCCCTAGAGCTGAGAGATAATGTAACTCTTGCTTTTCTGCTTCTGAGAACAATTGGCCAGACCAAGAGGCCTCCTCACTGGCTTCTGAAGTCCTTTTGTGGAAGGACACCCCTGTCAACCAGAGATAGGCAGGGTGGCAACAAGACAAACAGATCTAAGGGACTCACCTGGTGAGTCCTATCAGGGGAAGCAATCCTGCCCAGGAAGGAGCCAGGTGAACCTGCTTGGGCTGCATCAATACCACACTGGTGTTCTCAACTAGTTTCTCCATGCTCAGCCAAAGCAGAGCAGAACATTCCCCTGCCCCTAACCCGTAAGCCTTCTAAGGTGTGCCCAAACATTAGAGAGTAAGAAACAGATGAAGAACCAGTAGCCAGAGGTCCTAGGGAGGTCTGCACTTCTGTCTTCTCTGGGGATAGTTAAAACACCAAGTTGGGTCACTTACACCCTCCCAAATCCTCAGCATCCAAGCAAACAGTGTGTGCTCAACGACCATGCACTGTCCTTTCAAAATATTATCTCTATTGCCATCTCTGAGTCTCTCAGTGCTTTGGAAAAATGACCTAAATATGGTGATTATTAATCTCTAAATGATTGTCACAGTGATATTAATGGTACTTAAGGAAGTTCTTGCTGTGTGTAGAACATTTAATCAGAGCTGCTGAAAGAGTTCATGTTCGGCACTGAAATCTGATTACTTTTATGACATCAGCATCATCACAGATCCCCAGTATCTGGAATTTACTTTCCAAATTAAATTCTACAACCAAGCAATCTTCTAAAAGCTGTGTGCAAAAGATGCAAGATTAAGCCTGAGTGGACCTTCTCCATTCTCTGAGATGGGTCCCTGGACAGCTTGAGTATGTCTCCTCAGAAGGAGGAAGGGGTTTCCAGGAGAAGAATTGCATGCTCCGGTGGCAGAAGGAGTGGCATCATAACCTTATGGCCAAGCCCAAGGGTCTGGATAAACATGAAGTGACCAATGGTTGGAATGCATAGAACACTTCAGATTCCAGTCTCTTTCCTATGCCTTGAAGGAAGGAGAGACTGTGATCCTATCATGAAAATCTGACCGATCAAAAGAAAATCATTCTTGTCCTTCCATTATGATTTCTAAGTCTGCATCCCATGAACTTTCACTGGCCATCAGATTAATTCACATTAACAGACACAGAAAATCATCATCAGGCAGGCCCAGGAATCTGGTACCTCAGAGATCTTTTCCAAGATTCTGGGGATGCAGGGAGAGAAAGCCTGACTCTTGATACTGTAGATGTAAACCCAGGGATGCCCAGGGCCATCATTTCCCTCCATGAACTTAATAAGCCATGCCAGGGTTGACACTGAAAAGATCATCCAGCTTTCGCAAGGAAGCACAAATTTGTGCTTGTTGCCCAATTTCTCCATTTTTTTCTGGTTGAGGGTACAGCCAGGTGCCAGTAGCTTTATTTTGTTTGACTATTATCTTTGCTGGATAAATGTAAAATATCCCAACTGTGAAAAGTCAACTGGACTGGGCCACACAGAGATGAAGGATTTGAGCTATAAGACATGGAGCGAAGTGAAATCAAATCCTATCAGTTCTACCTCTCTGTCATCTCTAGGTCCCCTCTTACCATCTAAGGCCATGCCCTGGTACCTATTTCCTGGACTACTGTCCCTGTCTCGTCTCATAGTCTACAAGGTCTTAGACACTTCAAAGCTACTCTCTCAACAACTTGTGAAATAGTGGGTCTTTTTAGAAGGTAAGTCTGACTACATTTCCTCTCCTGATTAAAATCCTTTAACAGTCTATCCTGCTCTCAGTACAATCCATGAATCCAAAATTTGGCCTCTATTTCACTCCTTCCAGTCTCTATGTCCAATATTTTTAGTAAACTTTGCCTGGGGCCATTTCTCAGGTCATACTACGTGTAGTAAAGTTTTAATTTCCAAAATTCCCTTTCAAAATGTATTGGTTAGGTACATGATGATATGTGTATATGGGAAATAAAAGTAACAAGGTAGAGAATAATGGTTACCTCAATGTGGCCTGCTGTAGGGACAGCTTTACTTTAGCCAATGAGGATACAATAAGGCAATTTTCATTTTGAAAAAGAAAAAAAAAAGATCTTTAGGTGATGCACATTCCAATCATCGCTATCTTCCACATTCAGTGTGGCGCGGACCTCTGGCCCTGAGGCAGAGCTGTTTCCTTTGCTCTGACTGTAGAATAAGTGGCCCAGCACCTGTAAGCCGGCTTATCAGTGCAGGGTGGCTAAGGACCTTCCAAAGGTTAAGACAATGACAGAATCTCCCAGTCTGCCTTGAACAGGCCATTTTTCAGGATATGGACTATTTTCATTGCCTTGCAGTTTGAAGAACTGCCCCGATGCTGGTCACACATACAGGACTTGCCTCTGTCAACTTGTTTACTCCCATTGCCTCTCTGCTGTCCCTTTAATTCTTTATCACTCCCCTCTCCCCCATATACTTCTTTGCCCTGTTTCTTCCAGCTTTTAGCTGAATGAGGCAGCTCAAGAACAGAAAATGAAACAGTAGTTTCAGATCATTATTTCAAATCACATTTCCAGAGTCTTCATCCTCGTCTAATAGCAAGATTGGCAGGGATTCGCAGCCAGAGAAAGCCGACACAATCTCCCTAAAGTCCATTCTGTGGCTCCACCCCGTCTCCTGCAAGGTCACTGTGAAAGCAGTCCTTGAGAACAAAGAGAGAGGAGAATCTCTCACAGGCCTAAGCCCTCCAAAAGCCAGGGTTTCTCCTTCTCTGCAGCCAGAGCTCTGGGATCTGGGCTCAGGGTGCACAGAAGGAAGGTAGGGGAACAGCTGGAGAGCTTGGGCTGAGGGCTCTCCTGAAACTTCTGGAGTTCTCACAAGTTGGTGGAGTTTTCATCTGTGCCTGGTGATCAGCCTTGGCCAGCCAAACTCATCCTCCTTTATCCACCCCAGAACCCAGTGTTCAGGAGCACAAAACTGCCCCAAGGTCCACTCGTGCCATGCAGTTCACCTGTGTGCTCTGCACAGCTTCCCCATGGGAAGTCACCCCACCCTCTACTCAATCCCAGTCCCACTGGAATGACAGACACCTGGTTTTCTCCCAGGTTTACCCTAGACACCCCCCTTCTTCTCCTTGCCCCCTCCACCCCCCGCCTCATGCCAAGCCTGGCTCTATTCCTCCCCGGGCACCTTCCAGCAACTCCACCAGGCAGGCTGGCTCTGGGCTCCCTCCCTCAGTGAGTCGGCTGCCAGTGGGACTTGATCCTACCCCTCACCTTGCTGTTGACACACAAGGAAGCTCACTCCCGGCCTGCTGGATCCTCTCAGCCTCCCAGATGTGATTATCAACAATGGGAACACAGAACATCTAAATTGTGTGGTTGTGATGAAAAGCACCTTCTAACAATAGGAGATATTGCTTCAGGGGGATGTGGGGTGCTGGGGAAATGCTGTCTGGGAGCCAGGATGGCAGATGCCCAACCTGCCTGCCACTCTCTCCCAGCATACAGTACAACCCTTCCCCTAGCTGGCTGCTCCCAATGTGTCCCTTCTGCATTGAGAAAATAAAGTGTTCCCTGCTATACAGTTACCACGTGGACTGTTGTCCAGGGCTACAGAGCTCTTCCTGCCTCCAAGGAAAGGAGTCTTTGCCAAAGAATGGAAAGTAATAAATGTCCTAGCTAAGAATCAGAAAAAGATATTCAGAGGGTCCGTCATTCCCCACAATCCAAAAAGGATGCACAGAGTATGTGAGAAGTGTGAGAACACAGTTCTCTCCATGTTGTTCCTCAGAGTTCTGGAACCTTCTTAAAATACTGGTGTCGGATAATTTTTTTAAAAATCCCCCTTATTTATCAGGTAAATGTGAAAGAAGAAGAGACCCTATGCTAGAGAATGAATGATTCCATATAACTTCATTCCTACTAAAAAAGGATAACTTCATCTCTACTAGAAAAAGAAAGAGAGAGAGAGACAGAGAGAGAGAGAGAGAGAGAGAGAAAGAAAATGGCTCTAAGAACAGGACTCCCTGTGCTTGATACTGGATACTCACTGATGATTCTACCTTTAAAACTACAGACTGGTGGAAATGTTAGTCATACCAATGCTGCTAACTGTGTTGGTCATTTAGATTTGAAGAGCACTGTGAGTCTATTGCATAGAAAAGCCATAAAAAGATAGAAATCGAGGCCATTGTTGCTCAGAGGAAAATAAAAAGGATAACAATATTCACTATTTCTGAATAATATTACCCACTAATAGAGACCCAACAGATTCTTACCTCAGGATAATGAAGTGTAAAGGGGAATGAGGTGCACTTTCAAAGACCTCAAGGGCATTTGATACTCTTTTTCCTTCTTGACTTGGCTAATAGAAAGTGAACTTTACACACAGTCACACAGATGGATAGTTTTTGTTTTGAACTTAAACACAATAAACAAACAAAAACCCCCAACACCCAAAGAAGAAAGTCATCAGTCAGCTGAAATCGTTGACTTGTCAGATTCAGGATGCTGTGTCCCAGCCTCCCCACCTGAGGAAACGAAGCCAAAGCCAGCCCCCAGGAAGGCAGGGGGTGTTCATTATAAATCACTCAATGCAGAGGCGTCCTGTTTCCAATCATGTATCAAACACAATAAGGCCAACCAAAGAGAAAGGGCACATTAGAAGGGAGCGTCTCAGAGTGTAATTTCCTAGAAGAGAAATTGATGAGCTGCACTTATTCTCCATTAGAGTGCGTCTCACTGCTTTTATTAGTTTATTCATCAACACAGCCATGGGCCTAGGCCAGCTCTGTGGGCCCGCAGGTCATCAGGCAAGGGATCCCGGGGGGTTCCTGCTCCTGGTCCACTTGTGCTTTCCAGATCATAACAAAGTCAGCAGAAGCAGTAGTCATGATGCATTGGGCTGCCGGTTTTTAGGGTTTCCCCAAAAGGCAATTCTCAGAGCAAGCCCCCAGGGCTCTATAGATATAAAGTGAACATCTTAAATGTACTTAGAAATCAAATGATTTTCTGTTTGTTGTATGAGGTTGGTGATTGCCTCTCAAAGAGCATTGCTTCTCTTGCCTTTACGGCCAAGTTCAATTTCTTGTTTAGTGGTGTAATAAAGGGGCGATTTAGGACCTGGCAGCAAGGACAACCCAAGCAATGAGCAAATCCATCCCTCATCTGCTGCGTACCTCTCTCCATGATGCCACAGCTCACCTCTGAGCAACTCCACTTGGCACCCCAATGTCAGTCATGTCCCCCTGAACTATCCCTGCTTCCCCAAATTCACAACTGTGGTCTCTCTTTTTACCATACAGTTCTCTGGCCCTGCAGAAGAGGGCAACCCAAGCCCTACTGGAGGGCTTCTCTCCATCTCTGCATCAGGTCACTCTTCCTATGAGTAACATAACTCTTTACTGTGGTGGAAACAAACACAGCTGATATCTACCAGTTGGCACAGGGGGCTGGAATGGGGTAAAAATGCAAGTAAAAAACATCTTACCTTGTTTTAAGGATATTCAGAAACTGCAGAATTTCTGAAAACTGTATCAGTCTGAGAGCTCTTAAAAATCTCAAACCTGGAAAGAAAGAGAGGGGCATTATTTTTAAAGCATGGATTTTACATCCACAGTCTGCTGTTGGAGTTGAGCTGTCCAGAACTGAAGGGACATGAAGTCCTTGCAGAAGAAAAAGAAGGCAGTACCTTGGTGCTTCATTCTGATGTCTGGCTGCTTTAATCCCGTTTGGTAAACTGACTTTGCTTTAAAGGTGACCTGTTTTGAACCATGTAAAGGTAAGGCCCCAGGGTTGAGGGGGCTCCCTTCTCCTTGACAAGCTCAAATTTAAAGCACTGCTTCTAAGTTCCCTGCTGGTCTGTCAGGAGTTTGTCTTGGAAAAATACTGGGAATTGAGATCATTCACAGTCATTCTTGTGCTAAAAGCAGATTAAGAATAAATCGGATAACCTTATGTTTTTGATGGATTTCTTTTTTTTTTTTTTTGTACCAGGGATTGAAACCAGGCGTGCTTAACCACTGAGCAACATCCCCAGTCATTTTTTATGTTTTATTTAAACACAGGGTTTCACTAAGTTGCTTAGGGCCTCACTAAATTGCTGAGGCTGGCTTTGAATTCCTAATCCTCCTGCCTCAGCCTCCAGAGGTATTAGAATTTCTTTATTTTCAGTCCCTCCCAAAATATAGTCCACAGTGCTTTCTGTTTTCTTTCTGTTATACTTTTCTCCCAATCAAAAAGAAAAAAAAATCATTAAGATATCATATCCTACAACTGTGGGATAAAAAAATTAAATAATTCCATTTTCACTAACATCAGGATGAATGTCTGTTCTTTCTAAATTCACCCTCTCTCTTGAATGGAAGAGTTCAAGTTTCTAGGCAGCAAAAGAAAGGCAGAGAAGGAAAATAGAATCAAGGAATTTTTTTAAAGTATCATTGCATTTTAATACTAAAAAGTAAACTATTTCTATTGAAGTCAAATTCATGAGTCAAAAACATCCTAAGTTAGTCATGGGGTTTGATGCCTTGACATCCCCCATACAAAAAAAAATTATTCACAAAAGTCCAACTTTCACAGGTTTATGACACACTAAATATCACACCGAGTTCCAAGGGAATTTCCTTTTGCATATTTTTGAAAGCATTTTATACAGGGTCCCCCCATTGCCAAAGTGGTGCCAAGTGGAACTGGACTGAATTGGCAGACAGCTGCAACCTGGGGTTGGGGGAAGACTATTCTAGTCCCTCTGCAGACAGTAAAGGGGAGTCCAATGCTCTTGGTGGGAGAAAGCTGTGGGGTCTCCAGAGATCCTGGTTACCTCCTGCTTAAAAAAAGGAGTGGCTAACTGGCCCAGAGTGGAAGTTCTGGTAATGAGAAAAAATTAATTTCAAGCACATAGCAGATGTTGCAGGGTGGGGTGGGGAGGATCAAACCCATGGAGGTTTAAAAAGGGAGAAGATGCAAAAGTGCATGCCTTTAATCCCAGTGGCTCTGGAGGCTGAGACAGGAGGATCATGAGTTCAAAGCCAACCTCAACAACAGTAAGGCACTAAGCAACTCAGTGAGACCCTGTGTCTAAATAAAATACAAAACAGGGCTGGAGATGTGGCTAAGTGGCCAAGTGCCCCTGAGTTCAATCCCTAGTACCTGCCAAAAAAAAAAAAAAAAAAAAATGTGGGGGAAAAAAGCACCTAAATTTTTTTTTTAAAGTGATGGTATTTATTTCCTATACTATTTGCTTGTTTGACATATTCTACTGACTTACAAAAGTGTTATATGATATAAGCTTTTCTTTAACTCAGGCTTATGAAAATGAGGCTAGAAATGCTGTGAACGCAGTGGCCACAGGTCCAGATCCATAACCTTGGAGAGGGAACCCAATGATCCAGCTCTGAGCACCTTAACAGAAGCAAGCAGGGAGCAGGCATCAGCCTGGTAGTGTCTGTGTAAACAGGAAACAGACTGGTCCTCAGGACAACAGCTTGTCCAGCACAGAGACCAGAGGGGAACGTCTCCCTGCAAAGGGGACCCAGGATGGTATAGGAGGAAGAGTCTTGGGAACTGAACAGTGGTGGGCTTTGACTGCCTTGTACAGATCATTTTCATGGTGTTTGATTTAATTAATGCAAATGACGAAAGGTCCTACATGGGCAAAAACCATCAGTTGACGTTTTAGCCTCAGATCTTGGTCTGTGGTTTGCATCCTCAGGCAATAGTATACAGCAGCTTCTTCCTAATGGCCCCTTGGAGGTTTTAGTTCAGAATTCTCCAATGCTCCCATTCATACAGGACAAAAGGCAAAGGACTTCAAAGACCAAAAGTGACACCACAACCCTCCCCTACTAAACACACCATCTCCTTTTGGATCTGATGGTTTCCTACCAGGACTACTACCATTTTTCTCCTGGTCTGGCTGTCCTCACTGAGCCCTGTATCCAGGCATATTCCTGCCCTAGGGCCTTTGCACATTCTGTCCTCCCTGCCTGGAACACTCTTCTCTAGAACTCCACATGGTACACTCCTCACCTCCTCCAGGTTTTTACTTATGTCACCTCTGTTCAGTTGGACCTTCCTGCCCACCATACCTAAGACTACATGTCCTCTCACATCATCCCTGAAACTACTCTTTTTGCCTGCTTTTCCTTTTTCTCCCCTGCATGATGCACTAACATCTAATTTACTTGCCATCTCATCTACACATCAGCTTTCCTCAGGGAGGGACTAATGTCTATTTAACTCATGGTTATATTTCCAGGACACCTGAAATAGTGTCTGGCTTCAGTTAGTTGCTCTGTAAATACTTGTGCACTCCATGAATGAATCAGAGTTTTGAGAAGGAATGATGTGGCAGAGAGTAAAGGGGACATAATCTGCATTCAGAATTCTGAGACCACAAGCTGCTTGCTCAAGGGGAAAGCCATAAACTCCACAGGGTTTCAACCCCTCAAGAGGCCAGGGCTGACCTCACCAGCGGGGAGCTTTAACCAGTGGCCTGCTGCACCCAGAGAGGCCCAGAGATGTCCAGACAGCAACTCCCAGTTACACAGAGGCCAGTGGGGAAGGAAACTCCTAAGGGACAAACTATTCATTTTCTCTACTTTATAAAACTTTTTCTTGTTGTTCATTCCATAAAATCTCTGAAATAGAATGATTTTCTAGGGGAACATAAAATTATAACAGAGTTGTGAAGAAAAAAAATGTATATGTACCAAAAGCCACAAATTATCCTCACCTCCCAGAAGGTAGAGGGCCCAGATGTTTTATGATGTTTTTTACACTATCAAGAAATAGTTAGGCCCGGTGAGGTGGCACACTCCTGTAATCCTGGTGGCTCGTGAGGTTGAGACAGGAGAATCTCAAGTTCAAAGCCAGCCTCAGCAAAAAGCAAGGCATTAAGCAACTCAGTGAGATCCTGTCTCTAAATAAAATACAAAGTAGGACTTGGAATGTGACTCAGTGGTTGAATGCCCCTGAGTTCAATCCCTGGTACCCCCGCCCCCACAAAAGAGTCTCTCTCTCTCTCTCTCTCTCTCTCTCTATATATATATATATATATATATATATATATATACACACACAGTATTATATGATACAGTAATAAAAACCAGACTTTTCTCTCTTTTCCTGTGCTCTGTATTGGTTTAGAAAGTTGGTATTACCTGAACACAGGTATAGCAGGATCACCACACTAGTGACTAAGGACAATGATGGTAAATAAAGTTCTAGCATGTCAAGTCCAGGACGGCATTTAATAAATCATACACACAAGCCATGCAGGACATTATGGGGCACAGCCCGGATCTTCAATTCAGGGGATTTGATTGTCCCAGGCTCCTGAATAGTGGCCTGCTGAGGGCTCACCTGTCCCCCTATGGGCATCATCCTCTGCTCCAAGGAGCTATCTTGCTCATTGCCACTTGCCTCCCTTGAGGATCAAAAGTCTTCCATGATGTGGGGAAAAGGGTTTGCTGCTATATCTGAATTTGAGATGATGCTGCAAGGTTATCTAGCCACAGTACTCCCTGTAGTGTAGGCAGAGGTTCAGCAGAGCTGGCCCCCATCTGAATTCTCCACCCAGCCTGTATAGTACCCTAATTCCAAGACAGGTACTGGCTTTAAAACCTACCCCAAGATCTATATACCAGAAGGCAAAGCATTCTGATGCTCTTTTGGGCACGCTGTAGGTTCTTAAATTATAATTTCATCATATGAAACTACAGAATTGAAACACCATAGAATTATACACAATTTTATAGAAAAGTCAGTCAAGTAAACTAGAAAGCTCAGAAAGACACACACACATGTACAAAGGCGGAGAACAGTGACTTGAACCATGGTTTCTGATTGCACTGGGAACACATTTGGGGTAAAACCTGGCTCTGTTGGTTGCATTAGCACTGGGAACTTGCTGTGCAAACATGCAGGTCAAGATGGCCCAGTTGCTATGGTGATGCTCAGACTGGGAAGGCTCTGTGCAAAGGCATAGAGCTATATCAGTCTGGACCTTGAGCTCAGACACCAGCTCCTGGGTACAAAATTCTGAGCATAACAAGATAACCCTAATGTTTTTCTAGTCCTGTGCCCTTCAGATTGCCTGCTTTGTGGAAAATTTCCCCAAAGTAACCTTTAGATGATAAAACCTATATAATAAAAGTGCTGAGCTAGCTCTGGGTCACTGATCCTCCATCAGAGGTTAGTGTCCTACCTGGCCCCAGTTTCCTCTCTTTGTGTGTTTGTCTTTTCTAAATCCCCCATTGCTCCTTGCTAGTTTCTGAATTAGCAGCCATTAGGATACAGCCTACACACACACATGTGCACACTTGGTATAATGAACTCTTGCTATTTTAAGTTATTGTGAAATTAGGATGCTGACTGTGATTTAAATTTATTATTATTGTTGATCTTCATTATTTTAAATTACTTATTATATGACAAAAACTTTATCTTTTTTAATCCTTACAACAGAAGAAAACAGCTAAGAATAAATAGAGGTAGTGTGTACAGCTCACAGTTTATAAGCAACAGAACCAGGTTTTACCCCAAATGTGTTGAAGTCAGCAAA